CTCCCCTGACACCCCCTGGGCGCTCAAGGTCATTGCTGCCAGAGAAAAGGAAAAGCTGCTTTTCCAAGCTCCCACCCCCACGCCCACCTCATCTCCTCCCACCACGTCCATCACCATCACGTCTTTTCCCCTTTTCTAGCCAAGTCCTCTGAGCCCTGCAGTGGGTGGCTCCCGGCAAGGCTAATCTGTTTAGGACCAAATCCACATGCCAAGTCCAGATGTGGTTCTCAGCTGGGCTGCCTTCCCCACAGCCCTCTGGGCTTTTACCCCTGGGCAGCCGAGCCTGTCCCGGAGGTGGCAGCGCCCTGACATCAGCAGCCGCAGGCGGCCGGGCCTGTCCGGAACCAGCGGCTTCGGGTGTGGTGAGTGGTCTGGGAGGCAAGGCCACAGGCGCCCTGAGAGGGTTCCTGCAGAGTCTGCCAGCAGGGCCTGTCTGTGCCCCCAGCATGTCAGCAGAGGAAGGCGGGGCCTGGGGGGCTCCTGCCTCTGCATCCAGCTGCCCAGCTCACATCCCAGCGGGCGCTGCCCTGCCTCCTCTCACCTGAAGGTTGTTGTTTTTTTAATATATTTTTATTATTTCAGAGAGGCAGGGAGAGAAAGAGAGAGATAGAAACATCAATGATGAGAGAAAATCATGGATCCGCTGCCTCCTGCACGTCCCCCACTGGGGACGGAGCCCGCAACCCGGGCCTGTGCCTTGACCTGGGATCAAGCCATGACCTCCTGGTTCATAGGTCAATGCTCACCCCCTGAGCCACGCCGGCCAGACCACCTGAAGACTTTTAGTCACTCCCCCTCCCCCCCACCAGATGGGAGGAAAACAATGCCCTAAAGAGGGACCCGGTACAGACCAACCCTGTCAGACCTGGGAATGGGACCGGAACGGGAGCTCACAGACGGGGGTCTCCCGCCCGTGGCCATCAGGTCAGCCTGGCGAAGGCCCCTGCCTGGGCAGCAATGCGTCTGTCCAGGCTCTCAGTGGCCAGCTGTGTGAGCTTGGGAGGACCACTCTCTCTCTCTCTGCACCTCACCTTTAAAAGCAGCCCTTGCAGGCGGCGTGGGGGTTCTTCTAGTTAAACTCAGGCCCTGCTGGGGCGGGGGGGCGGGGGAGCAGGTGCCAGGGCTGGAGTGCACTGAGCGTGTGCTAGGCCCAGACGAGTGTGGGCTGTGGGAGAAGAGCTGCTCTGGAGCCTGATAGGAGAGCCTGTCTTTGTCCTTGACTCATCACGTGGCTGTGAGCAGGTCACTTCCTGTCCTAGCCTGTGTTCCCTTCAGGAAGATCAGGAGGCGGGCCAGGTGGTCCCTGGGGTTCCTCTGACTCTGAGGTTATAAAGATCTCCTTTCCCACCGGGAGTGGGCGTCGGCCTCACGCCCTGAGAGCCCAGGGACCCTGAGAGCCCAGGAGTGCAGGCTCCAGGTCCATGCAGCCGGCAGTGCTTGGGAGGCCCTGCTGAGCCTGCAGGGGGCGCCAGGGGGCCACGAAGGAGCAGTGGAATTGGGAGGCGCTTGTCCAGGCACCCCCACCTCAGCTGGGGGACACAGACAGCCGGTGACCAGTGAATGCTGAGCCCTAGAGTGGAGCTAGCCCTTCCCCGACCAGGCAGCGGGTTCTGCAGCCAGAACTCCTCCTCCAGGCCCCAAGCAGGCTGGACCCAAGAACATTGATTTAGGGGCCAAGCCTGAGCCGAAGCCAGTCCCCCTGGAAGCCAGCCCAGCGCCAAAGTGTCCTCCCAAGTGTCCTGGGGGCCAAGCCCCAGGATGAAAAGATGCTGCCTCTACCCCAGGAGCACCGGCAAGAAGCCCAGTGCTCTGCGGCTCAGGCCTCGTCCCCAGCCTCAGTTTCCCTGTCTGCTCAGCAGAAAAGCACCCTGTCTTGACAGCCCATTTTTGGTGGCTCCAGAGGGCAGACACCTTTTATTTATTTTTAATTTTTAAAAAATATATATTTTATTGAGGGAGAGGAAGAGAGAAATAGAAACATCAATGATGAGAATCATTGATCAGCATGTGCCCTGACTGGGATCAAACCGTGACCCCCTGGGTTCATAGGTCAACGCTCAACCGCTGAGCCACGGCGGCTGGGCCAGACGCCTTTTTACACCAAGGTAACCGTGGCTCCGTCAGAGACCGGCCACCGCTGTTGAACCTGCCACTTCCTTCCTGGCCTCTCTGTCGGCCGGAGCAGTAACCCTCACAGCATCAGGACTCTCCATGTCAGGTCCTCCTGGAATGTTCTAGAATGCACCCGCCGCTAGCCACTGGCCAAGGCCTCTCAGAGGTGACAGTGAACAGCAGAAATGCAGGAACCGACCCCGTCAGCACTACCTTACCCTGCAGAGTTGCGATTTTTCTCATCTGGCAAGTGTGTGTGTGTGTGTGGGGGGGGGGGGGTGAAAGAGAAAGTGCAAAGAGCTATAAGAACAGGGACCAAGAGAGAAAAAGACTGAGTGCGTCTGCAATAGTGGCACCAGGGTTGACTCTGGCCCTGAGCTGGGGGCTGGCCCAGCAGCACATAAGCAGGGTAGGGCGGCGGCTGGGACATAACTCCCCCCACCCCCACCCCCCCGGCCACCCCCCGCCACGCTTGCTTGTGGAGCTGCACGGGGCAGACTCTGACCAGCTGTCCTCTATCTTCCCTGAGTCCAGAGCAAGCAAAAGAGGCTCTGCAAGCGGAGGCGGGAAAGGTGACCCCTCTGCTCAGAAAGAACAGACGCATCAGTGCACAGGCAGCCGTGGGGGGGGCGTGAAAGATGGTCGTCGTCCCAGGAATAACCGAGAGCCCACGGAGAAGTGGCGGCGCAGGGGAGGCAAGGGGGCAGGAGCGACGCCCCGTCAGGGCAGTAGGAGTAGCCTCGAGCTAGCTGTGTCCGGATGGGATGGGGCAATGGCAGCAGCGGGACCAGGAAAGCGGCCCAAGGTCTCTGTGGGGATCCTGGCAAAGCCTCCACATGCCCGGCCCCGCCCTCCCAGAAAAAGAGCCACGCTCACGGGAGGTTCAGGGAAGACAATCTGTTTATTGTCGCAATCGATCCAACCAAGAGGACGAGCTGCCGGACTCAGGCTGCTCCGAAAAGCAGACACGCCGCACGGCCAGGCCACAGGGCACCGTGTGAGCTGCTCGCCACCACCCCACCCACGGCTGGCCCGTGGAACCTTGAAGTGCATCAGTAGTTGAGTTTTCCCCTCCAAGTGCGCAAAGAGCAGGAAACGCCTTCCATCACTTGCCTTTCGTGAATTAACTCAAAACACTGAGAAATGATTGTTTCCCTCCCCAGCGTTGCTTTTGGGGTGGACGTAGTGAGAGGTGTGATCTGTGTATTTGTCTATATAATATGCCTACACCTATAGAGACTGTAAATGCATCAGCAGGCTTTAATAAAGAAGACGTCCGCGAGAGGCACAGCAGGAGACGCGGCTGTCTGTCCTTAGAACAGAAGCAGGAAGGAAAATTTCTTGATTCATCACCCGTTCCAACTGCCCCGGCCACTCCCGTGGCCAGGGCTGTCCTTTGGACATGGCCGGCATTTGCGATTGTCCATCTGCTTGCCCTGGCCTCGGAAGCACTGCGGCCCAGCCCTCCCCTGGTGACCGATGGAGAGCGGGTGGGATCAGTCCACACCTAGGGCAGCGGATACATCCAAAGCCAGTTCCAAGGCCCCGAGAGGAGTGTCAGTCCGGAATGATTGTGCTTGGTTCTTTAAGCTAAGTCCCGGTCGGCCAGCCCTTCTCTCCTTATGAGGGCCCTTCATTAGGGAGAAGAGACAGTTGGGGGTTCGGAGAGCAGGAAAGGGGGCAGTGGAGAAACCAGCAGGCTAACCCCAGCAGCTCGCAGGGAGGGGACATGCAGCCACAGGGGGCCTGGGGCCCACAGAGCAGAGGAAGCAACCTCTCGCTGGTCTGAAGGAAAGCAAGGGGGAGAGCAGGCGGGGGGGGGGGGGGGGGGGCGGGGGGCTCACGTTCCCACCTCCACTCACAGGAGCTAGCTTGTCCCCAACCTCAGTGCCGGAGGCGGCTCTGGGAGAGTCCTGGAGGGGGTCCTAAGGGCTGGAGGATAAAGTGCGTATCAGGGTGTGCGCCTGGGGCAAAGGCGGTTCCGGCCCATCCCCCTCTGCTTGGCCCTGAGGCCATGGAGAAGACTTGCCCTCCCTGGGCCCCCAGACATCTTAGGCTACTTATGGGGAGTTGGGATTTCTTAGAATAACCCCCGGGAATCTGACAATCGTTCTCCGGAATGTGATGAGTCCTGGAAAAGGGGAAGTCCTGGCCCAGCACAGATCCTCACTCATCCAGGAGAGGGGCCTTGAGAGGTGGCAAAAAGCGACATCTGCGGACTGAAGAAGCATCCCACCACCCCCGGTCCCAGCGGCACCAGGCGCCCACCCACCTCTGCCCTCTCGGCTGGTTGGCTTGAAAGATGGGCCATGCCGCCTGCCCCGGGCCTTCTGGTGGCTTAGCCACCCCGTTGGCAGTGTGTTGATTGGCAGTTAGGTACTGAGCAGAAGAGTTAGAATTTCCTGGTGGGCTGGACCCACCCCACCCAGGACGCACCGAGCTGGTGGCCCACACGCCCTGTGCCTGGCCCCCAGCCCCCTTCCCTGGACTCTCTTCCTTCTTCCCTAACTCCAGCCCTGGCAGCAGCGGCTGCACAAATGGAATTAGATGCACCACAACAATTAATCTTGCCCCCCACCCCCACCCCGTGCTGGCCTGGCGGTTCCCAGCTCCGTATGGCTTTGTGTACAACACCAGCACCTACACAGGCCTGGCACACGGCAAATACTCAGTAAACAGATGTTAAATGGAAGTGAATTACACTGAGCCTCCCAGATGCTCACTCCCCTGATTGGCCATCTGACGGGCAAAGGCAGAGAGCGGTCCCTGAGACTGTCACTGTCCTGTCCCCACCCCTCCCCCAGGCTCCTTCCCGCCCTGAGCTCTGCCTCCCTGAGTCTGCGCAGGACCTGCCCTCCCCCCCCCCCCCCCGGACCCCAGGAGGAGGCCCACCTGGGGCAGGGGAGGGGCATGCCTGCAGCTCTGTCCTCATTCCCACACCCCACCCCCGCCGTGGGCATCCCCACTCAGGGGAGGAGCAGGGCATCCCCTCCCCTCCTCTCCCGCCAGGACAACTATGGCTGTTCATTCAAACTGTAGGCTGACGGCCAGAGGAGGTGCCCGGGCCCTCACTCTGTCCCCCTGAGCCTCGGTTTCCCCGTGTGCAGTAGGAGTGATGTGGCTCGTTGGCCTCTGGGGGTCTCCCAAGGCCTCTCACCGCGCCTCCCTCTCCTGAGATTCCCCTCAATGTGCGTGACGTGAGGGCGATCGGCTCCCACAAACGCCCCTTCTTCCCCAGAGAGTCACGGCGGGGGTGTAGCCCAGCTCTAGACCGGACACGGCCACGGCCACGGGCTCCCCTCATGCCTCCCTCAGGCCTTCCCTTCGCGCTCCAGTGGAGCCGAGGAAAACTGCTGGGGGCCTGGGATGGGCTGTGAGGCCGGTCCCTCACCCTGCGCCCTGGGCCCAGCTCACTGGCGCCCCCTCCCCATCCCTCCGCTCACTGACATGTGCCTCCTGCTGGTGGGCACTCTGGTGGCAGGAAATGACCACCACCTGGAGCACACGCCCGCCCGTGACCGTGACTGACCGTGACCAGCTCCTGGCCCTTCCGTACTGTTCTCACCAAAACCCCCAGCATCACAGCCAACAGAAACCACCGGTTTCAGAGTTCATCCACGGAGGAGAGGGCGGAGCTGGGCGCCCGGACCGGAGTCTCCACTCGCCTCCATCTCGGCTTCCCTTCGATGCCCTTGCTCGTGCCCACCCCGGTCTCCAGGAGCCCATCAGCACCCAGCCTGCAGGGCTGCCCGCAGGAGCACGCAGCTCAGGGAAGCCCCGCCACCCACAGGTGCCTCTGAAGCTGCCCCCAGATGAGTCCCGTGAGAGCAGGCAGGCTGCTGGACCCCTCCTCCACTCCCCCCTGCCCGCTGGGCGCTCACACGGCCTCCCCTCCTCTCAGGGGCAGCGGGACCCCTTCTCCCTCCTCCAGGGCCCTCACATCCCGTACTCCACGGCGGGCTTCTCCCATGAGAGAGGTGGGTGACTGGTGCAGTGGGGGGACAGTGAGGGGTTGGGAGGCGCAGGCCGGCCCTGGGGCCTGGCCCAAGAGAAGCGCACACCGAGGCGGGGGCACACTGCACAGGAGAGCGGGGGCGGGGGTGGGCGCGGGGCCGCCGGCCGCCGCTACTTGGCACCGTCCTCAGCGTGGCCCTCGCCGTCCATCTTGCCCTCCTCCTCCGTCTTCAGGTCATCGGTGCTCAGCTTCTGCTCCTTCTTCCTCCTCACACACTTCACAACCATCAGCACCAAGATGACCACGGCCAGGAAGCCTCCGACCGAGGCGCCCACGACCACGGCCACCGTGGAGTCCCGCTCGGGCGGCTCTGGGGAAGAACAGGAGACAGACGCTGAGGGCCGGGCTGCAAGGGAGCCGCCCTCTGGCCCCTGCTCCCAGGTGCGGGCGTCCCAGCGCTCCTCTCCTCCGTGGGAAGAACTGGAGGAAGAGCCTCATCCGCCCAGGCCATGGGCCTCTGAGCCCCCCCCCGGATCCCAGGGCCCTGACAGCCCAGGGCCGCAGGAGGAGGCGGCGGGGAGGGCATGGACTTGGAGGTCAAGCAGACCCCATGGGAGCCCTGGCTGTATCTGTGGAGAGCTGATCTCAGATGACTTCCTCTCCGCCTCTCTGCCTCCGCGCTTATAAAACAGCAGCTCCTCCCTAAGGCCTCCTGAGGGTGAAGGAGCGGCTGCAGCTAGAGCTCCGTCCTGGACCTGAGACACATCAAGTCCCAGTTCGCGGAAGCTGCTAGAAGGATTCTGAAGATCCTGATCCTGATTGACAGCATCATAAGGACTCTCGGAGTCACGCTCCCAGGTCTCTAAGGACTGGAGGGAAGAGAGCAGGTGCTGGGACCACCCTCAGCTGTGGCTCCCCAGCGCGCCCCTGCAGGACAGACTCCCAGGGGCCTCCCCTGGGCAGCAGGCGAGAGTAACGGCCAGGACCAGCCAGGGGCCTGCAGCCCCGCGCCCTCGCCGCTCCCTGCCCTCGCCGCTCACCCTCCATGAGGACCCGCAGCTGGATCCTGCCGTGGCCGCGGTGGCGGTCGGGCGGGTTCAGGATGTAGCAGCTGTAGAGGCCCTCGTCCTCCGGCTGCACGTTCCGCAGCGTCACGGACACGTCGTACTTGCTGGGGTTCCCCGAGAACTCCACGCGGTCCCGGAAGCGCTCCAGCTTCAGGTTGATGATCTTCATGCGGAACTGGAGGAACTGGGGGTGGCGAGGGGCAGGCTGAGGGGGTGGCAAGCCCTGGCGAGCGGGTGCCTCCCCCGAGCGTTCTTACTTGGAGACAGGCCCTTACCTCCAGACCTCCACCCCTCCCCGGGCCGGCAGGACAGCACACCTTCCGCCCGAGCAGACGGCCCCAGGTCCGGTCCAGGCAGGGCAGGGGCTCCACACCCACCAGACTCACCATCTCCTCGGAGCAGTTGCCGCACTCCTGGTAGGTCCAGTTCAGGGAGAAGTGCTTGTGGTTCACGGTGTAGCAGGAGTTGAAGGTGCAGGCCAGCCGGGCGTCGGAGCCATTGAGCACATTCAGGGTGGTGGGCACCGTGACTTCCATGCTGCGCCCTGGCGGCACTGTGGGCAGAGCACACACTGGTGAGGGCTCTGGCTGATGGGGCCAGGAGGGGCACGCCCGCCACCTGGTGGGATTGGGGCCGGGAGGGGGCACGCCTCCTGCACCTGGTGGGAGTGGGGCTGGGAGGGGGCACGCCTCCTGCACCTGGTGGGAGTGGGGCCAGAAGGGGACATGCCTCCTGCACCTGGTGGGAGTGGGGCTGGGAGGGGGCATGCCTCCTGCACCTGGTGGGAGTGGGGCTGGGAGGGGGCACGCCTCCTGCACCTGGTGGGAGTGGGGCTGGGAGGGGGCACGCCTCCTGCACCTGGTGGGAGTGGGGCCGGAAGGGGACATGCCTCCTGCACCTGGTGGGAGTGGGGCTGGGAGGGGGCATGCCCACTGCACCTGGTGGGAGTCGGGCTGGGAGGGGGCACGCCTCCTGCACCTGGTGGGAGTGGGGCAGGGAGGAGGCATGCCTCCTGCACCTGGTGGGAGTGGGGCCGGGAGGGGGCACGCCTCCTGCACCTGGTGGGAGTGGGGCTGAGAGGGGACATGCCTCCTGCACCTGGTGGCAGTGGCCTGGGAGGCGGCCCTCCTCCTGCACCTGGTGGGAGGGAGCAGAGCTCAGCAGAGGCGTCCCTTATGGCTGAAGTAGTCAGGGGGTCATGGGAGGGTGGGGAAAGCAAAACTCCAAAGGGGTAACAGATGTGGCCTGTGTGTAAAGTGGGGGCAGCACAAAGCTGGGGTAGAGAAACCAGATCCCCTGTCAGCCAGGGACAGACAAGGGCCCACACCTTTCCCAGGCAGGGCAGGCAGCCCTCTGCCCGCCGCCTGCTCCTGGCTCTTGGCCCTCCGTGCTGCCTGCTCTGCTAGCTGCAGACCCTGGAGAAAAGTTTCCTTGTGCTGCCTCAGTCTCCCCGCTTCTCCTCCACTCCCAGCCACCTCCGTGGAGCGGGAGCCCTTGGGCTGAGCCAAGTGTCCCCAGCATGTCAGACAACACCTCCTGACATTTTGCACCCCAGGCCCCTACTTGCCTCACCCTAATCCTGGCCTTTTAAAAAATATATTTTTTTATTGATTTCAGAGAATAAGGAAGAGAGAGAGAGAGAGAGAAAGAGAGAGAGAGAGAGAGAGAGAGAGAGAGAGAGAGGAAAACATTAATGATGAGAGAGCCTCCTGTTTGCTCCCTACCTGGGCATGTGCCCCGACTGGGAATCGACCCATGTCCTCCTGGTTCATAGGCTGACACTCAACCACCGAGCCATGCCAGTCGGGCCTAACCCTGGCCTTAATTCTAAGGTTCTTTGCCAATATTGTCAAAACCTCATCCCCAAAGCCTGAGGACAAGCAGTGCCCTTCAGTGTCAGTCACTCTCACTCCTTTACGACGTTGGTAAACCACCCACTGTGCGCTGAGCCCAGCCTGGGAGACTGTGGGCGAGGCCGGCCCAGTGGCCGCCGCGTGGAGCTCGTCCTCTCGGGAGGAAAGGACGTGGGACTGTGCCTTTGGCTGTGAGACAGGTGACAGGTGTAAGAAATGCAGCCAGGTGGGGGTTGTCTGTGGTTGGGAAGGCTGCCCGGAGGCGTGTGGGTGCCCCTGGCTGAAGGGAGGGAGGGAGCCGCTTGACATGCTGAGGGGATCAGTCCTGAGGCAGGAAGGTCCCAGGAGCTGGAGTGAGCTTCCTGTCTCTGAGGCACCAGGAGCAGAGTGACCAAGGGGCAGACGGGGAGGCTGAGGCCCCAGGGTCAGGCAGGGACCGAGGCACAGGTCCATGGGCCAGACAGGACTTAGGGTGGAATTCCTGGGGGTGAGTCAGGAAGCCACGGGACTGGGAGCAGGGCCCTGGGAGCAGGGGTCTCTGTGGGAGCTGCACTGACGTGGAGACCTGACCAGATGTGAGTTCAATCCCCGCCCTGCCTTCCTGCCCTCAGTCCTCTGCGAGACCCGGGCAGGTCCCTCCCCTCCAAGCCTCATCCCCGCCCCTGAGGAACGCAGCTCCTGTTGCTGGGAAAATTAAAGAAGATGAACTGTACAGAGCACAAAGCGCAGTCTGCCGGCAAAGGGAGCTCTCAGCCCTGCTTCCCTAGACAGGAAGGGCTTTCGGACAGTCCCCTGCAGAGGGCGCCTTGGGCACGACCCCTCGGGACTGTTTTCCAAGCTGCTCTGTTGTGCAAAGCTGTGCCTTTCCCCCCCTCCCCCAGCAGCCGCTGCAGCCCTCGGCTCAACCCACCCTCAGCAAGAGGACCCAAGGCGGACCTAAGACCAGGCGGTGCTCCGAGCTGCTGGCCCAGGAGGTCCGGACGGAGCCCAGCCGGAGGGCTCAGCAGACACCTGCCAGGCAAGCCCGGGGGGCACGCTGACAGGCTGCCTAGGGGGCATGAGCTGGGCGGCTGGGCGGACCCACCGAGAACACAGCCCAGGCCCTCTCCCCCTTCATAGCCCGGAGGGAAGCGCTGGCTTGCTCCAGGCAGGGAGGGCGCCCACCACGCCCCCCCGCCCCCCCGCCCCCCCGCCCCCCCCCCCCCCCGCCCTGCAGACGGGGCGGGGAGCGCAGAGGAGCCTGGCAGCCTCGTCCTGAGCTCACCACCCTCCCAAAAGCTCCCTGCTTCGCTGGCACCTTCCCTGGAAAGGCCAGCCCCGTCCCAGGCCCCCCACTCCCCACCCCCTGCCACATCAAAGGAGCCCCCAAGCGACACCAGGAAGCAGGGGCTGCCAGTCTGGCTGGCCCACCCCTGGCCCCCATCCTGCCCCAGGCCACAACCTCAGCCCAGGAGAGCTGGAGCCCCCAGGCAGCACCTAGACGCCCAAAGAGCCGGGACCTTGCCATGTAAGAGGGCAGAGCGCGAGGTGAGGGGCTGTCAGGAGGGGCAGACAGAGAGGCACAATACAGGTCCGTCCCCCAAACCCTGACAGCGGGTCCTGCGGAAAGCACTGGCCAGAGAGGACAACCACCAAGTCCCAACTCAGAGGAGCCCAGAGGAACCTCAGGAATGGGGGTCCAACCTGTTGTCCTGCCAACGGGGAAAGGGAGGCGCTGCGAGAGACACGGAGGATGGGGCGAGCTGGGGCCAGAGCCAGTTCCGGCTCCTAGTCCAGGACCCACCAGCGAGGCCTCAGGGGGCGGGGGCCGCAGGCCCTCCTGACACACAGGAGCCGCCCCAATGCGGTGGGAGCTGTAGGAGAACCCTGGGCTGGTGAAGCCGGTGCGTCAGGGAGAGCGAGTCCCCGGCCAAAGCCCGCGAGGAGGCAGTGACCTGCCACTGTGTCCCAGGCCCTGCCCAACCCCTTTAATCCTCACCACACTGACACCTCCGTCTTCCAGAGGAGAAAGCTAAGCACAGGGCAGGCCCATGAACAGCCGAGTTAGTAAGTGGCAAAGTTCGATTTGAACCCAGGCCGCAGGCCCCCCACCGAGGGCCGAGGGGCTGAGGCTGGTGGGGTGACTGTTTCTCCAGGGGTCCCAGGGACCTGACCTCCCACTGTCTACACAGCAGGCGCGCCCCTCGGGGCAGCTCCCAGAGCGGGCGGGTCTATTCCAGGGACCTCCCTCCAGGGCCACCCACAGTGCTGCCGGTGGTCTGTTTGAGACCAGGTCCGGGGCCTGGTCTCCTGAGTTCCAAGTCTCAGAAAGGAAATGACGCTCACTGGGGGCAGTGAGCATGTCGCTTCTGATCTCAGTTCCAACCTCCCTGGTGCTGGGCTCCCCATTTCCTCCAAGCACATTGCCCCCACCCCCGGCCCTGTCCCCCACTGTTCTCACCGGCCCGTCCAGAGAGCACACAAAACACACAACTGTGCCTGTCTCCCGCCAAACAGTCACCGCAGAGGCTAGTTACTTCTCTCCGTGCCGGCTTCCAGCCTCAGCAAGCGAGGAGCTTGGTTTATTTTCTTTTTGGTTAAAGAGAGGCCCGGCTGCGTGCTCATGGTTGAGCATCAACCTGCGAATCAGGAGGCTCCTGGTCCAGGCACAGGCCCAGGTTGTGGGCTCGATCAGTAGTGTGGGGCGTGCAGGGGGCAGCCAATCAATGGTCTCCTCTCATCATTGATGTTTCTATCTCTCCCTCTCCCGTTCTCTCAGAAATCAATAAACATCTATCTATATATATAAAAACCTAAGTGACCTTTATGACCAGATGACGGGTCAACAGGTACCTATGACACACACTGACCACCAGGGGGCAGACATTCAACACAGGAGCTACCCCCGGTGGTCAGTGTGCTCCCACAGCGGGTGTGCCGATCAGCCAGAAGCCAGGCTCACAGCTGGTGAGCGCAGCTGTGGCGGCTGAGACTCTCCTGCCTCCATGGCAGTGCTACCGAGCAGCAGCGGCAGCAGGCACAGCGGGGCTGGACCAGGATGAGCTGGAGCAGCATGGCGCCCGGTCCCAGCTCGGGCTCCTCCCAGGACGCCTGCCGCTTCACACACTGCTACATCCCTCGGGGGATGTCGGACTGCCGGTTTCAGCCTGATACCCAGGGATCGGGCCGAAAGTGGCAGTCCAACATCCCCTATGGGGTACCAGATTGTGAGAGGGCACAGGCCAGGCTGAGGGACCCCACCAGTGCACAAATCCGTGCACCGGCCTCTAGTATATTTAAGGAAGAGAGAGAGAGAGAGAGAGAGAGAGAGAGAGAGAGAGAGAGAGAGAGAGAGAGAGGGAGGGAGGGAGGGAGGGAGGGAGGAAGGAAGGAAGGAAGGAAGGAAGGAAGGAAGGAAGGAAGGAAGGATCGGTCTAAGCAGAGACATTGCCTCCCTGACCGTTGGACCCACAGTCTCCTGGGGCAGTCCCTGCCCCTCAGACCTGTCCCTCCCCAGCAACCAGGAGGCAATTACCCCAGACCTTCCCTGGCTCCTGGCGCCCTGGACCACGTCCAGGTGCTGCGCGGCGCCCGCGCCCTCTGCCAGCGGCCAGCCCCGTGCTTCCTCCACGCCAGGGACCGGGCTCTGACTTCCCTGGAAACACCGCCCTCCTTCACGCTTCCCTTTCACACCTTCCCCCGTGACTTTGCCTAAGCTGGGAAGCGAGTTCACCTCCCGCACCTGGGGCCTCCCACGTACCCAGCAGATGCCAGCTGATAAGGCGTCGCCTGGGTGACGGCCCCGCCACTGCCTGTGCCCACACTCAGCCCCGCCCGCCGCCGCCACAGGACGGAGTCTGCATGGCACAGGGGCCGGAGCGGGCTCCAGTGCCCCCAGCTGGCCTTGGGCAGCGTGGCTAACCTGCCAGCGCCTCGTGTGGCCTGGAAATGGGGACGATAGGAGAACACCACCCTTCGCTGCTGGGAGGCTAGCTCAGTCGCAGTATGAAGCTCACTGCAGCGCCCGCACAGTCAGCTGCTATTCTTTTCTTTCCTTTATTATCATTTTTAGTCCTCACCTAAGGATATTTTTCTATTGACTTTTAGAGAGAAACATCAGTGTGAGAGAAACACATTTATTGGTTGCCTCCTGCATGAGCCCCAACCAAGCCCAAGCCAGGGAGAGCCTGCAACCAAGGTACGTGCCCTTGACTGGAATCGAACCAGGGACCCTTGGTCCACAGGCCAAGGCTCCATCCCCTGAGCCACACTGGCCAGGGGTTAGCTGCTATTCTTATCACTATTATTGCTGTTGTCACAGCATTTCACTGCTGGGTTGCTATTATTTGTCCTGTGCCTAAGTCCCTCCAGAGGCTCCGAGGAACTGATGTTTTTTAAAAAAATATGTTTTTAATGATTTCAGAGAGGAAGGGAGAGGGAGAGGGAGAGGAAGAGGAAGAGGGAGAGGGAGAGGAAGAGGGAGAGGGAGAGGGAGAGGGAGAGGGAGAGGGAGAGGGAGAGGGAGAGGGAGAATCAGATCAGCTGCCTCCTGCACGCCCCCTACTGGGGATCGGGCATGTGCCCTGACCAGGAATTGAACTGTGACCTCCAGGTTCATAGGTGGACACTCAACCACTGAGCCACGCCGGCCGGGCCGATTCCTGTTTGCCTCAGCATCCCTGGCCCCAGACACCATGTGGCACCCGGTGGGCACTCGCGGGCGTCTGCAGGAGGAAGGAAGGCACGGTCCCGCCCGCCGTGTCGGGGTCCCCCCCCAGCAGCAGACACCTGCGGGGGGCTTGAGCGGGGACCAGACTCCACGGGGGGCTTCACCTAGCACCACCCAGATTTTGGTGAGCGCGCCAGTGACCGCAGAGCCAAGTCAGGAGCAACTCCAGGGAAGCCCAGCCGCGTGGATCGTTTCTGGCGGAAAACTGGTCTCACGTGCTTCTGTCGTGTGGGCAGCGGCTGCCCGGCACGTCCGCTTTGCCAGCTCTGTCCTCCCCACACGCAGCCCCTGGCCGTCTCCTCTCTCGTCACTTACAGCGTCCCTCCCGCTGAGGGCGATGCTGCACGGCCTCCCCAGCCCCGCTGTCCACCTCGGGGAGCCGGCGGCCTCCCACAGCGCCTCAGCCACGCCAGCGTCTCCTCCCTCCTCCTCTTCCACCAGGCTTGCAGAGGTGTCGGCTTCCTCCCACCACCTGCCACAGCCAGGCCCGACCTCTTCACCCCAGAATCCATCTTCCCCTGAGCCACCTCGTCCTGGCCGTGAGCCGCTCCTTTCCTCACTAGACAGGCTCTCCAGCGGCCTCCCCAAGGAGCCCTCACTCCCCAGGGAGCCCTCACTCCAAGGCTGGACCTGTGCTGAGATGCTTTGGCCATTAGGCTCATGTAGCAGTAACGCTTCTTGAACACCGGGGGCAGCAGAGGTCAACAGTTCAGGTGTTCAAGTCTCAGCTGACCTTACCCTGGTCCTGTGACCTCCGTGGGCACGTGGCTTAACTTCTCTGTACCTGTTTCCTCACTGTAACACGAGGGTGACAACAGCATTCACTCCTCCGATCACTGGCCACCGTGGTGGGCAGCGCCGGGCACAGGAAATGCTTCCATAAAGGTCACCTGGTACTGAGCACCTGCTCGCTTATCCTCTCACAGAAACCCAGGCGGCAGGTGTTCCCCAGGCTCCCAGGAAGGGACTGAGCACAGAGCCATCCGGTGCCCTGTCTACGGATAGGAAGTAAATGACCAAGGCGGCCTGGAGCCCAGATCGGCTTCCGCAGCTCATCTCTGGCACCGCCACACACTCCTGCTCTGCTGGTGAGATGTCTAGTAACTCGGCAGAGCGGACGGTCTCATGCGCGGGCTCCGGGGCGAGCCTCTGGCCAGCACTCCGGCCAGACAGGCGCCCGGCAGCGAGAGGCACTGCGCAGTGCTCCTGGGACAGCCCGGGCGCACCTCAGCCGCTGCACCAGCAACGGCGACGTTTAGGAGCGAGAATGAAACTCCCGTAAAGCAATCTAGCGCTAGCTCTCCAGCCCACCTCCCACCAGAAGGTCCATGAGTGGTCTGATCGGAAATTAGCACTTGGATCCCTGAACAGGGCAGTCCGCATACCCGGGCTGGACCGTTCTTAAAGGGCCACAAATTCACTGGCCCGTGGCTTCCTTCTTTTTTTATTTTTTTATTTTTTCCTCCTGATTCCTTCCCCTGACCCCTCCTCTGCTCCCTCTGGCCCAGTGCCGAGCAGCAAGCCTCCTCCCACCCAGAGACCGTTCCTCAGCCAGCTCCCCCGCCCCCACCACACACACACACACACACACACACACACACACACACACACACGTTTCAAAACGTCAGTGGTTTGGGTTCCAGAAAGCCAGACAGATTCAACTTGCTGCCTGCCCCACCCCCCCTCCACTGCCCCCCGTCTCTTCTAATATCATCATCCACCAGATTCCAAGGGCCAGGGGCACCAGGGGGACCCCTGAAGGGAGCATTAAGTCTCAGCACCCCACCTGTGCAGCAGCTCCCAACACCCACAGCCTCTGCACATGGAGCTCCCCCTCCACACACACAGGTCCACTGCAAAGCTGTCCAAACACAAACTGCCTCCCCAGACGCCTGTCAGCCCTGAGCAACACTCAGCACTTCTGAGCCAGCGCTGCGCAGTCCCCAGCCGCCTCGCCGGCCCCACACCCCCTCCCCAGGACGGGAGGGAGGCAGGTCTGGGGGCCTCCTCCGGCTGCACTGGGGACCCCCTAAGCATGCGACGCGCGGTGTGCAATCTGACTTACCCAGAGAGAAAAAGAGACCGAGGCCCGTGAGGCCGAAGGCAGGGCGCGGGACCCAGGCATGTCTGTGCATTTCCAGAGCCTGGCAGCCCTGGGAGGTGGGCGAGGGCGGCTGAGGGCTGCACGGGAGGAATTGTTAGGGGCCAAAAAAATAAATAGGATACCCGGGTGTACTACAAGGACACACACAGCGTTAAGGAAGCTTTATTTCCATCTCTCTAATATGGCCGGCCTGTCTGTTGCTGCTAAAAAGAACGAGGGAGTGTGTGAGGGAGAGCGAGAAAAGGGGGATGGAGTAAATCTTGCGGTTGTTGGATTTCAAACGGCAGGTGGGAGGGCGTAAAAAAGTCTTTCTGAAAAGAAGCAAGTTCCCCAGAAATGTTTACCCTGGAAAACAAGAACTAAAGCAGACCCTGCCTTTCTTCTTGGTTGGGTTTTGAAAGCTGTTAGAGGAACCCCTTTGTTTCAAAGCTGCTGTAAGGGTGAGGGGACACCCCCAAAAAGGAGACACTTGTTCATGTTATTTGGAAAGCATTCGGGGAAGTGAGTCAGGAGACTTTGGGGGAAGTAGGGACTTCCTCATTATTCTGGCATTTTCACTGAAATCAGAGTATGTCAAAGCGAGCTGGTGCGAACGCACCTAAGCGGTCCTACAGGGGGATGTAAGGCACATCCACAGCCGTGCGGGGAGGGGCCACGCCAACCTGACGAGCTCGGGGAGGCTGCGTGGCGGCCGTGCCACCTAGAGACCCAGAATAACCACAGAAGATGGTCTGAAATGAAAACTGTTTAACTGAAAGCCGTTTAAGGCAGGTGGCCACGTCCTCGGCTAGACTCTTCCCTGATCAGGCCGATCTTTTTATTGTTGAGAGAACACATATGTTCCCCACTTTCCTCCCTTTGCCCCCCTCTGCCAGCTCCCGCCCACCCCAGGCCTTCACCACACTGTGGCCTGTGCCTGTGGCTGTGTGTGTGCACGCACATCCTTGGTCACCTGCTCCCCCCACCGCCCCTGAGAGCTGTCGTTCTGTTCCAGGCGCCGTGCCTCTGGGGCATTTGTCAGTTTCTTTTACTCATTAGATTCCACACATGAGGGAGATCACGTGACACTTGTCTTTCTCTTACTGACTTGCTTCACACGGCATAATGCTCTCCAGGTCAGAGATCCTTCATTGTTACTGCTGCATAGTATCCCATGGTGTAGATGTGCCACGGCTTTTTATCCATCACCTGCTGATGGGCACTTGGGCTGTTCCAGACCTTAGCTATTGTAAATTGTGTTGCTATGAACATAGGGGTGCATGTATGTATCCTTTCTGATGGGTGTTTCTGGTTTCTTGGGATATATTCCTAGAAGTGGGATCACAGGGTCAAATGGCAGCTCCATATTTAATTTTTTGAGGAAACTCCATACTGTTTTCCATAGTAGCTGCACCAGTCTGCATTCCCACCAGCAGTGCACGAGGGTTCCTTTTTCTCCGCATCCTCGCCAGCACATATCAGTTGTTGATTTGTTGATGGTAGCCATTCTGACAGGTGTGAGGTGATACCTCACTGTGGTTTTAATTTGCAGCTCTCTGATAATCAATGACTTTGAGCATTTTTTCATGTTCTGTACATTCTCTTTGGAGAAGTGTCTATTCAGGTCTTTTGCCCATTTATTTTTTTTAAGTTGGGTTATTTGTCTTCCTTTTGTTGAGCTATATCAGTCCTTTATATATTCTGGAAATTAACCCTTATCAGATGTGTCACTGGCAAATATGTCCTCCCATTCCGTGGGTCGCCTGTTCATTTTGTGATGGTTTGGTGTTTGCTGTGCAGAGCTTTTTAGCTTCATGTAGCCCCCCTTGTTCATGTTTCCCTTTGCTTCTCTTGCCCTAGGAGACGTATCAGCAACATTTTTTTAAAGATAGAGGAAAAGGGTAATAAGCCAAGGAAGATGGCCGTGTTTGGAATGGAAAAGGCAAGGGATGCTCCCCTACAGCCTCCAGGAAGCAATGCAACTCTGCCTCTGCCTTGATTTTCGCGACGTGAGACCAGTCAGACTCCTAACCGACAGAACCGTAAGATAATAAGTTTGTGTTGTAAAAACCAAACAGCCCAGCCAGTGTGGCTCAGTAGTTGAGCGTCAACCCATGAACCTGGAGGTAATGGTTTCATTCCTGGTCAGGGCACATGCCTGGGTTTTGAGCTCAATCTCCAATCCGGGGCGTGCGGGAGGCAATGGATCAATTATTCTCTCCCATCATGGGTGTTACTATCTCTCCCTCTCCCTTCCTCTCTCTGAAATCAATTTAAAAAAAAACACACAAAAAAACACTCTCCAATGGTTTCCATGCTCAAATAAAGGTCACTCTTTACCTTAATGGAGCCTGTCTGTGGTCTTTTGCATCTAAGATAACAGGCCTTTGGAATGTCAGGGTAACTCCCTTCCTCCAGACCCCTCGGGGCACAGCCACTGCACCAGAGCAGAGACTACAAATGTCCTTGTTGTTACTTTTATGTTGTTAACTGTTAACTACTATCCTGTACCCACTGTTAGACCCAAGCGAGGACGAAGGGCGGGTACAGAAGGTCACCAGGGCAGAAAGCTCCAGGTGCCCAGCAAGGGGCAAAGCTGGGAAAACAAGCACCTCGCCCCAGGGTGACCTCTCCTCCCCTCCCATGTCACTTGTCCTGCGGTTTGGACCCCGATCTCTCATATCCCTGGTGAGGCGGTTTAGACCCGACCTTCGCTCCCTAGAGATAACATCGAGGCCTCAGTTGCCTTTCGGCACCAGGCCCAGAAAAGCAGCAAAACCAGACAAGTGACACCGTGGCTGCCTCAGGACCAGCTCTACTGACCAATGACCCCTGGCCCTGGTGCTGACCAATCAGCAGAGACCACGACCCCTGAAAGCTCACCTGGGAAGCTGATGAATTTTCTATTAAGGCCCTGAGCCCTCCCCTAAGATTCCCACCTGCAAGAGAGAGAGAGCTATGCTCAGAGCAAAGGACCCCATGTGCACTCTCCCTCCAAGGAGCACGCCTGTGCCCTTCCCTTCCCCTCTCCTTCCCCCACAGGCACGTCTCCCCCAAACTCTAAGGGCCCCCATGAGACTGCAACCAGGGAGCCATGGACAGTGGTAGCTAGTCCAGGGCTAAACCCCTGAAGCGGTCTCCAGTCCCATCCCCTTTTCCTTAAATAAATTCAATTTTCTTTAATCACCATCTGAGATGCACCACCAACCTTAACCTTTCACCCCCTGTGTATGTGTCTGTCTATCATTTCACTTTTTATCCAATCCCAGAGATGCCCTCTCCTTCCACTTTGCTTTCTCCCGCCTCCCTACCCTATCACCAATGGGTCTCCTGTGCCCCACTTATGTCTCCTCTGGTGGTTGTAATGTATAAAACAAGGTGGGAAGCTGCCATTCCCTGGGGCGTTATCTCCATGAAGTGAGATTTTGCTTCCCTGTCCACAGTTTGGCTCAAATAAACTCACAAAAGTTCCCCACAGGTTTGAATGTTTCTTACGTGGGCAGTAAAAAGACATTCCTGAGACAATTGGGGGGAAATGCATATAGTCTGTGTAATTGATTATATTAATGTAAGTTTATTAATTTTGTTAGGTATGAAAAGTGTTGTGCTATGTGCTCTGAGAGCTTTATCTGTCACACGCCAGAAATTTTACAGGTAAAATCATATGATGCCTGGAATTTGCTTGGAGATATTCCAGGGGGACAAGGCAGGAGGGAGGTGGTGTCAGTTGTTGGAACTGGTGGTGGGTGCCACGGTTCATGACACAGTTCTCTCGTCTGTCGCATATGCTTGACATTTTTCTTTAAAAAGGAGGGGAAAATAGGCTAATACCAAGAGTAGGAGAACTTGGGGTGGAGTCCCAAGGGCCTCTAAGCAGAGAAGATCACCCCACTTTCTGGGAAAAGTAGGTTCTCAGGCGGCAGCCACCTGCGGCCTGACGGGCTGCCGATGCCCCACGCAGGAGCAGCTGCTATTCTGAACATTAACGCTGCACCAAGCTCCTTCCACGCGATTCCTCAGCTTGTGACCCCGGGGAAGGTGGCTTCTTCTTCATCTTTTTTTTTATTCCAATGAGGACACAGTGGTTGGCAGGTCTCAGCCACCGGGGGTTATTTGTGTATGTGTGTTTTAAATATATATTTTTTATTTCAGAGAGGAAGGGAGAGAGAGAGAGAGAGAGAGAGTAACATCAATGATGAGAGAGAATCACTGATCGGCTGCCTCCTGCATATACCCCACTGGGGATCGAGCCCACAACCAGGGCACGTGCCCTGACCGGAAATCGAACCAGTGACCTCCTGGTTCATAGGTCGACGCTCAACCACTGAGCCAGGCCGGCCGGGCCTAGCCACCAGTTTGACATGTGTACAGTAGCCTGGGTAGTCAGAGCTGGGGTTCACGGTGTCTGTGTGGAGCACTGGGCATTCCCAGCATGCCACACTGCCACCCAGAGGGGGGCCTTGCCTCGGCTTGTCTAGGGCCACAGAGGGGCCAGGGCCCTACCTGTGCTGAAGAGGAAGGAGCCAGGGCAGGGCCTGCAGGAACAGGGCAGGCCGGCTCAGGGCTCGGCTCAGGGCTCGGCTCAGAGCAGACTCTCAATACACAGGAGCTGGGTGGCTGCACAGCCCCGCCCCGCCCCGCCCCGCCCCGCCTCCCTGAGTGAATGAATGAATGGATCTGGAGAGGGATGAGGGGAAGCAGCCATCGTGGCGAAGGTAGTGGGGCCCAGACTCAGCCTCTAGGTCAGAGGGGGAGGGAAGGAGGCCAGGTGTGCGTGGCAGGTGCTGGAGCCAGAGGGCTGACGGAAATGCTGGGGCGCTCTCCCTGCTGAGGGGTGTCCATGCCTGGACCTTACACAGACTCTGTCCTCAGGTGCCCTGGTCGGTATGCTAGCTACGGCCCGCTGCTCATCCCAGGACACACAGCCCATGGGAATGAAAATCAGGGAAGGAGAAAGCGGACGACCCAGGGAGAAGTGTCCCCCCACCCTGTGCCCCCCTCCCCGCCCCCCACCTGCAGCCCAGCCCCTGCTGCCCGTGCAGCCAGGGCCTTGCCAGGCTCAGCCTCCTTCAGGCCCCTGGCTGTACCCAGCCGCCCAGGCTGCCGCAGGCACATGTCAGCCGGAGAGTTTTGGTTTGATGTGGCCGGCCTCCTCCTTTTTCGTAATGCAGCTGAGGGTGCCTGTGCTCCCAGGGAAGCCACTTCTCCTGCTCACTTGGTCTCACACTGGGTCCAGGAGCTTCC